CGGTACAGTATAAGGAAACCACAGCAAACAACGGCCCCGAAGGAACTGTGTCTCGTAAAACTCAAGTCTCCCTTAAACTTCTCGAAGAAGGAATGCGCCGCCTGCACAACAGCATAGCTTCAATTAACAACGATTATCTCCAAGATATTGAATTGAGCTCATTACTCACAACAGTTGTGGAAAATCTGCATGCAGTTTCACATTTTAAGCATGGGACCTTCCCCGCAGTACAGTATTCCCGAGACTTTGGGCTTATTACCGAGGAGTCGTTGAAGAGAGTAACGAAATGGCAACCAAGTATTTTACTCATGAAAAATCCTACTACCCTGTCCCTCAGACCAGCACGGAGTTTGTAAATGTAAACTTTATGCGACCTCTACCTTCAGCAAAGATCGACCCCGAGATTGAAAGTGTCATGAAAGAATTTGTGGAAAAGTATCGTCCCTTGAAGCAAAGGACAGTTCGGGAGGAAACTACCAAGGACAGGGCAGGGGGCCCTACCACCGGTCGTCTACACGAAGCAACAAGATTTCACCAAAGTGGACTTGTTGGCGGGACCAGGTAACGATTTTAACTTTTAACTCGGGAGATCAGTCAGTGGGGTGTAGCAGCGACAAAGAAGCTATTAAAGTTACTTCGGAAGGTGGGAATGTGACAGATATCACATTTGTTGACGACTGTATCTTTGAAGTGGCAGTTGCTGAGGTGCGAACACATGCAGACTCAGGAAACTACTTTTCTCGCCGGACCAAGAGGATGAAAATATTACCCCAGTTACGGTTTCTATATCTGGGCGGCCAGTTCGCGCCCGTTTTCGTCTGGATTTCTAAGGTACGCTTTCTCTAATAACCTAGTTGAAAAGTAGGCAAAAGAAAGTTCCTTTCTGATCATTTCATCGGAGCCAAACGCAATCGAAGCGTTGTAAAACAAAACATAAATCCAATATATTGTGCTAGAGGACTTTTCACAAGTTTTTTTTCTTTCTTATGTTCTTCTCTCCAACATTTTGACTCGTTAAGTGGTTGCAAAGGAATGTTGCGCACGGGAAAACAGAAGTTTGTGTTCAGAAGAGTCGTAACTGACATAGAAATGACTGAAAGTCGTTTGAAAGATCTTAGACCATTCCAGAACTAAGAAAAAGCTGTTCTTATTGTATCAGTTTTCGACTAAATTTTCGAGTTTACGCTAAATGTGCTTTTCAGCCAAAATTATAAGTTCAGAAAGTAATAATAAAACTTGCTAAGTTAATCATTAACAGTCATTTAGCTGACAACTGACAAATGGTCGAAAATTTAACTGACAACTGATAAATGGCCCKAAATTTTAACTGACAACTGACATTCGTACCCTCTCAATCCAGTTAGTTGCTTGCGCGATGCGACAAAACCTGTCTAATCAGCTCTCAGGAGAACAAATACCGCGTGATGTCTGTTTGTACCCATTCATCCCATGACATCCCCGACCCTCGTCACATTCGAATTCCAAAATGTGTCAACTTCTGCCTCTTGGGCTAAACTATGTTCGTTTCAGAATATTATTGAAAACGAGGACATAAGTGAGATCCCGCTGGAAAATTCATTGTATAGTCAGGTGGATGCGAAGTGTGGACAACTGAGTTACTCGGGCAGGAATCAATTAGAAATGTCTACCTTAACAACACGATGTAGAAACACCAAAATATGAAAGCGATTTGTTCAACCCTTGAATGCCTATGAACATAATCAGTTGATTTGATGGGTAGGTAAATAATGTCTTGAAAAGGACCAATTGAAGCACCGAATGCCAAATGCATTTGCATATGAAGTGTTCCCTTGCCGTAACACCGAAGCCGACTAACGTATTCTAAACATTTGTAGTTTTGCCAAACGTTCAGTGTGGTAACGTTTGGTTAAGTAAGCAGTGTCAACACGAGGTTACAGGTTTAACGGATTTCCTTGAAATAACCGACTCGAAAGAAATCTAGAGTTCATGTATTTTCAAATGCCCTATATACATTTAAGCCCTATATACAAGTACAACTTAAGAAGGCATGTGCTAAGGCAGCTTCCATGCGTAAGCTGCGTAAGTTTTATACCACAAGATGTTATGATTCGCCTTTACAAAGCATATGTGCTACCCCACTTAGAGTATTGTAGCCCACTCCTGCTAGGAATAAGTAATGGACTCAAAAACAAGTTAGAGGACACTACTTGCTACATCCTAAGGACTATCCTAGGGTATTCAAGCTCAGTGTTTTATGATTTTCTTCTTAATTTAGCTAAATTACAAAACTTAGAGACACGGAGGCAATTCCAGTCATTAGTTATTTTATATAATGTTTAACATGACAGGGGCCGGAATATCTTAGTAAGTTTTTTAACGTTTTAAATGTAAATTACAACCTAAGGGGGTCTGGCACACGCCTTAAGCTGCCATCGTTCAACTTAGAATACATGCACAAATCATGGTCATATTTAACTACTAAGCTTTGGAAAGAGTCGCTTTATCTTTCGTTTTGAAA